CGTAGTGTACTCAAAGATCCAAACTGGTACAATGCTATGAAGGATGAATATAATGCTTTGATTGCTAATAATACATGGGATTTAGTACCCCCCCCTCCCCCAACCAAAACATTATCTCTGGCAAATGGCGTTTTAGACACAAACTTAGCCCCACAGGTGAACTGTCCAGGTATAAGGCACGTTGGGTTGTTTGTGGTTTCAATCAGCGCCATGGCATTGATTATGATGAGACTCTCATCCCGGTGGTTAAGCCCGCAACCATACGCATCATTTTCAGTTTGGTTGTCTCTCGCGGGTGGAGGATCCACCAAATAGATGTCAAGAACGCCTTTCTTCATGGATCTCTCACAGGGACTATCTACACAGCTCAACCATCTGTGTTTCAGGATCCTAATCGTCCACACTATGTCTGCAAACTGAACAAGGCACTCTACGGTCTGAAACAAGCACCGCGGTCCTGGTACCAGCGTTTCACGGGCTTTCTTCTCTCTCTTGGATTCCGCGGCTGCAAGAGCGATACCTCCCTGTTCACCTATGGGCAAGGATCACAGATGGCGTTCTTGCTTCTATATGTAGATGACATCATACTCACAGCCTCCACCCAGGCACTCCTTGAGTCTATCATTCAGCGACTGAAGGGTGAGTTTGCTATGACGGATACGGGGGACCTCCATTTTTCTGGGGATCAATGTCCAGCGCACGACTCATGGGTTATTTCTCACACAGACTCAGTTCCTCTACGGCATCCTTGAGCGCGCCGGTATGGTTTCGTGCAAACCTGCATCTACCCCAGTTGACACTCGTGGGAAACTTTCGGCCTTAGCAAGTCCTCCCACACCAGATCCTACCTTGTACTGGTCAATTGTAGGGGCATTACAGTACCTTACCTTCACCCGTCCTGACATCACATATGTCGTTCAGCAGCTGTGTCTCTTTCTTCATGATCCACGCCTCCTGCATGTCACAGCAATGAAACGGGTGTTACGATATCTTCATGGGACACCCTCTCATGGCATTTCCATATCTCCATCCCCCACAGACTTTATGCGGGTTACTCGGATGCTGACTGGGATGGCTGTCCGGACACTCGCCGATCCACCACTAGTTACTGCATTTTCCTCGGCAACAACCTCATCTCCTGGTCCACCAAGCGTCAGCAAACCACGTCACAATCGAGCGTTGAAGCGGAGTGCAGGGCCATAGCAAATGGAGTCGCGGGAGTCAGCTGGGTGCGCAACTTAGTTTAGGAACTCTAGCAACCTCTCAGCCGTTCCACCTTGGTGTTCTATGACAATGTCAGTTTCGTCTACCTTTCTGCCAATCCTGTCAAACACCAACGCACGAAACACATTGAGGTTGATATACACTTTGTCCGAGACAAGGTGGCTCTCGGACAAGTACGAGTTCTCCATGTTCCTTCTTCGTTGCAGTATGCAGATATCTTTACAAAGGGTCTCCCAACCATGATCTTCACAGAGTTTCGTGATAGCCTGGGAATCCGAAAGTCATTACCAGTGCCGTTGGGAGCATGTTAAATATAGTGTTTCTATATTTAATATATTGTGTAGTTATTATTGTATATTGTATATACTAGTTACCATGTGTGTATAGGTTACCTTAATTATACATTTCCTAACATAACTAGGACTCTCTTAGTATATATATCTTGTAATATACACATTATCATTATTGGAAATTATTCAATCTTTCAGTACCCCATTTGTCGGGTAAATTTCACAAATGTTACCTGAACTTTAGCTGGAATTTCGAAGTGGTACCTGAACTTCAAATCCTTTCACAAAAATCCCTGAACTTACACAATCCTTTCACTAATGAGCCATTAGCCCGTTTCTAGGTTAACTTCCGGTCATTAGGGCCAAATTCGAATTTTATATATTTTAAAATTTTCAATTTGACACCATTTCTTCTTTTCTTTTCTTCCACGCCCCGCCGCCGCCGCCCGCCGGTCAAAGTCGCCGGAAAATGAACTTTTTCCGATTCCGGCGGGACCAATGTCATTCTCTTCGTCTTGAGACGAGGATCAATAATATCCAAACCATTTTGTCTAATTTGGCCTGTAACTTCTCGAATCTGAATTTTTCTACTCGAAAAAACCCTAAAATTCGAAATTGGATCCAAAATTGGGGGTTTTGCAAATCTTCATCAAATCTTGCAATTGAGGGGTCCTTGGAGGNGCCGCCGCCCGCCGGTCAAAGTCGCCGGAAAATGAACTTTTTCCGATTCCGGCGGGACCAATGTCATTCTCTTCGTCTTGAGACGAGGATCAATAATATCCAAACCATTTTGTCTAATTTGGCCTGTAACTTCTCGAATCTGAATTTTTCTACTCGAAAAAACCCTAAAATTCGAAATTGGATCCAAAATTGGGGGTTTTGCAAATCTTCATCAAATCTTGCAATTGAGGGGTCCTTGGAGGTCGCCCGGATGCCACGACCGCATTGGCGTTGGTGCCTGCCGTCAATTTCGCCGGATTTCGCCAGAAAACGCTCCGACCCGCCGGCGGGTCGAAGCGTTTTCTGGCCAACTAATAATATACCTATCAAATTTCGCCGGATTTCGCCAGAAAACGCTCATACCTTTTTACTAATAATATACCTATCAAATCCTACTTTTACCTATCACATCAAAGGACATTTTTGGAAATTCAATACCAAAATACACTCCCTTAAATCTATTCAAAAAACAAAACATCACATGTTTCATGGGACGGAGTATATCATGAAATAACTTGGAATAAAATATCATGAATGCTTGAATCATATATTGTGTGCATGATATCAAATGGTTGATTATGAATTGAGATTCAATTTATGTGCGTGGATGTTCGACGCTTTAAATATGCTTACTCACCTTCACCGTTGAGCGTGTAGTGTTATTTTATTTTCTACACACAAGTAGGCAGAATAATGATTTGCAAATTCCTGGCAGCGGATGGGACGAGACAGTCCTAGTGGATTATTGAATAAAATAAATAATTATGTTGTTATGAGACATGTTTTAAAATCGCTACCGCATTATTATTAATCACTCCGTATTTTCAATTGTTATGTATTGAATATTTATGATAAATAAAGTTGTTTGAAATGTTTTAAATTTTTATGATTTCTAAGTTAATATTTTAGTCCAAAAGGGGCTGCAGACCTAGACGGATTAAGGTGTTACAGAGAGATAATGACTACGGCTGTTAAACATGCTCGTCGAGATTGATCAGTGACGCCATGCTCTTGGCCGGGCGGACGATCGCTGTGAACAGAGATCAGTGGTGTGCTCGATGAGAAAAAGGACTAGGTTTTTGAGAATTTTAACTGCGATACCATATTGAAAAAAAATAATTTAACAATTATATTGATCAAGGAAATAAGGAATACATGATAGAATATATAAAGGGGGACGCAACCCCAATTAGAACTAGAAAACAAGAATGGAAAACTATCTAAAAACACAAAAACCATTCTTAATAATATTACCATAATTAATTGTCTAACAAAATACATAGGGAATTAGCTTTAGCCCATTCCCTAGATTAGACCACGATCTTAAAAAAACGACCAAAACCTTAAACATAGGATATCCACGTTTTGCTTAACCAAAAATAGAGGTAACATTTTGCTTACCCCTTGTCGCATTATTTGACCAATACCAGATTTTCTGGACCAACCCAAGATCTCCTAGCGACCGCCAATCCAATCTCTCTTCCTCAATCCCTCTTTGATTATTATCCCATATCAATAGGTAAAACATACTTCTACCTCCCAAAAAATTACATTATTATGTTTAACGAATTAAATTTTAAATTTTTTAAATTTATTTTATTTAGAGATTGGTATAAAAAAAACTTATATATTTAAAAGCTGTGTCAAAAGTTTTACAAAACAAGAGGTAACAAAAATATTTTATTTTATCAAATAATCAATGAAAATGTGAAAATAAACAAAAGTTTTTATATAGTGAAGTGTTGCAATCTTTTTAGAATGTAGAGAGTATAAGTTGAATCATATTAAAGAATTGAATTAAATCAATTACTATCTTCATTCCTAAAAGATTATCACGGTATATGTTGAATCATATTAAAAAATTAAATTAAATCAATTATTTCTTCGTTCCTAAAAGATTGTCAAAGTTTAACTTTTTGTTATCAAATTGTGGCACCTTTTGATCATCAATTAAATATATTTTAAATTATTTAAATATTATAAAATTTGATCATTCAAAACTATATTTTAAAATAATCCTAACTTTACTAAATTTACATTATAACTAAGGTTACATTTTCTTACATTAATCTGATCTGAACTAAAATTTTAAGGATGGTCTAATCTCATCTGAATGGATTTAATTCAAATTCAAATAATTAAGTTAATATTCATAATAATCATAATTTAATAATATTAATAATAATCCTAATTATTTAAATAATTATATTTAATATGACTATCATAAATTATTATTATTATTATGTGTTATCATTAATGAAGATTATTATGATTACTAATAATAATTATTATTAAAATAATAATTAATTTAAAAGTCTATTGTTATTATTAACAACAATTATTGTCATTATTATATTTACAAATAAATATTATTATTAAAATTTATTATAATTGTTATTAATAATTATTAGTTAATAATAATAATGACTATTATCATTTAAAATGATTAGTATTAATTACTATTACAGTTATTATTAAGTATGATTATAATTACTTATTATTAACTACTAATAATTAATATTATTTATTATTACTAATAATAATAATTATTATTATTAATTCATAATGATTATTACATTGATATTTAATTAATGGTTATTTTTATCATTACTAATTATAATTAAAATTATAATTAAATAAAACTTAATTTTAAATTCTATTATTATTTATTAAAAAATATTCTTATTATTTACAAATAAATAATATTAGTAATTTTATTATCATTATTATTAATTATTATTAAGTACGATGATAATATAGTACGGAGTATTATTATTATTTATTATTATTATTATTAATTAATAATGATTATAATATTAATCATTATTATTGTTCTTGTAATTATTATTATCATTAGTTAATAAAAATAATTATTATTACATTAATCATTATTAATATTATGATTATTATTATTATTATTATTATTTATAAACTATATAATAATTTTGTGATCTGAATGGATCTTATCTGATCTAAATAGATCTGATCTGATCTAAATGAGTTTGAACTGGTTTGAATAAATGTGATCTGATATGAGTATATTTGATCTGAACAGATTTTATTTTGATATGAATAAGCAATAAGTAGAAGAAATAAGCTAAAGGGAACAAGACCTAAATATACTTTTTCCATAATTCATGATCAAATGGTGACACAGTTTGACTAAAAAAGTCAAATTGCATCAATCTTTTAGAGACGGGGAACAGGTACATAATTCAATTCAAGACTTTATATGTAGTATTCATTAATAAGTGTGTATTTTTATTTTCAAAACTCTAATATGAACGCCTAACTAACAAATCATGACACATTATTACGTGGTCATAATGTTCAAATTCATTTTGATCTTATTGCATTGATATTATAAAAGAGTTGAGCTTTTTGCAAAAAAAAAAAAAGGAAAAGATCCACTTACCAACACATGAAAAATGTAAAAAGGTCAATTTTTACATGTGGACCTTAAAACCAAAGAAGAACAATGGCCAAATAGCACAAGTAACCCCCCTCCTTGTGGTTTGAAAAATATGCACCAAAACCTATATGTTTTCAAATTTTATTTTAAAATCCACGTGGTTTCAAAGTGTTGCACTCTTACCCCTCTTTAAAAGAGTTGAGCTTTTTGTTTATTTTTTGTTTTTCCATTTTCTTGTTTATTTTATTAATCCAACGGAGAAATTTTATTAATATCGATGGTAGTACATAGTGCATAATCTTGGCATTATAGCCATTGATGTAGCATTTTAACTCTATAAAGAATAAATAATATAAGGAGTATTTTGTAAGTAATGTGAGAAAATATAATTACATGGTAGTGTATGAAAAAATATGGCAATTGCCTCCCCACATAGTGAAGGTGAAGGATTTCTTTTATAGTGAGAGATGAGGGAGTAGTTATGGAGATAAATATGGTAGGGGAGTGAATGGTGGGAGTAATTATGGTAGGAAGTGATGGGTTGAGGTAGTTATGGTAATGAGTGAATGGTGAATGTAATTAAGAAAATTGAGTTGACTATGAGGATAGTTATGATAAAAGGAGTAATACGGGCCGAGATGTCTGGGCCAAATATTATTTCTCATCATTCTTAAAATTTAAAATTATTTTTGTTGGAATTTTTTAACATATACATCTATACGTCTCAAGCTAAAAAATTTATTTTTTGTTTTAAAAAATAAAAAATTAAAAACTTATTTTGAAAACTTCAAAAAATGAGAAATGAAATAAGAAATGAAATAAAAAATAAAAATGAATACCCTTGTTGGACATCGCAATTCTAAAGACTTTTGTAGGCATTCTGAAAAATCATTTTTGTATAAGACTTTTTTTTACATGTTACAATTTTTTTTCATTTCATTTTTTTATATTTTTATTTTTATGTTTTTATTTTTAATTTTCATTTTGAACTTACCAAAAACATTTTTCTAGGAAACAAAAAGTTAAAATTTATAATTTGTTATTTTTTTAATTCAAACACTAAGAATATTGAATTTTTAAAAATACTATAAAAATTTAAAAGAAATTTGAAAAACTCTTCTAAGAAAGGAAACAAAGAGACAAACGAAGTTTAAAAAAAACAAAGTAATAAACGAAAAATAAGAAATGAACATGTATGTCCCTATGGTATAGAACATAGACAATAATGTTTCCACTCCATCAGAAAATGATCAGAGAGAATGTGAGTGCAAATTTTGAAAGCATGAAAACTCTAGAAATAAATTTCCAAAACAAAGAAATATTGATATATTTTTTCAAATCAAATGGAGAACTAGACCTATTTGGCCAAAGAACAATTCAACAATTGAATATGGAACCCAAAGATTTACGTAAGCTAGTAAAGCTTCAAAGACTAGTAAATGTAACGAAATCCTAGAAAATCTCTCAAGGAGTAGTACTTTTTGTCGGCTTGTTAAAGAGTTCGACACTAGTGTTGCTTCAATTCCTCATGCAATAGATTGATTATAAATTTATAATTTCTTTTTCTCTCATTTCTTTTTAAGTTTTATTTATTTATGTATAACTTTTATTTATTTGTGCATTGTTTATTCAGTAATTTTTTTGGGTTGTCACACACGAGTAGTATTTGTCTACTTTATTTCAAGGTAACTAAAGTTGTACTATCTCTGTCTCAAAACAAAATTCTTGTTCAATTTACGATGTTTTCAAATTAATATAAGTAAAAATTTGATTAGAATTTAAAAATAAGATTATTCACTTAAAAATTTATATAAAAACTTCCACAAAAGCAAGTGGTGACAAAGTTATTTAATTTTATTAAATGATCGATGAAAATATA